AGCGTTCGCCGAGCGTTGGGAGCTGGTGCTCGCTGGCAGGAGCCAGCTCAGCCACACATCTCCTACCTTTTGTTCCTGGGCCAGCCTTGGCCAGGGGAGAGCCCACTTGCAGCGGGGCAGCCGCCGACAAGCCGGGGTAGTCTTGCAGCGACCAAAGGGGAAAGCTGTGTTACTGGCCGTGCTGGGGGGGGGGAGCTGGCAACCAGCAAGGAGCTTTGCAGTGCTCTGACGGAGGGCCAGCGCTTTGGAGGACAAAACCGACCCAACCCTGTGCCACGCAGGTTTTCGTGCCTCGCCCGCCCGATGCAAGTGCTGCTGCTGGCATTGGGCAGCTGGTGCATCCTCGGGCACTGGAGGGGCCGGGCAGCCCTTGCGACGCAAAGGGCAGGAGGGCAGCGGGGTGCTGAGCTGCCCGTTCTCAGCCCGGCTGAATGCCTGGCATTTTGCTCATGTGTTTGCACAAGGACCTCAGCGACTGATCTGCACCCCTCTCTGCTCGGAAATAACGGAACTGAGAATTAGCCCAGGTGTCCTACGATGGAGGCACGAAGTCCTAGTTGCTAATCCAAACTCCTAGGCCCTCCTTCAGGACCTGCTTGTCCCTCAGAAATACCAATTACAGAATTTGCAAGCCACTGCAGAGAAATTAAACCAGCAAGAAATGTATAGATCACTTGTTTGATTTCCCTGCAAACCCTCACCCCCACTGGCTGCATACCCCTCCCCGTCTCCTCAATATTGGTAATAATCTTCAGGTTTGCTAGAAAACAAACCAAGGAATAAAATTTTAAACGCCATATTATTAATTTCAAGCTCCAGTTGGGTAACATAAGGAGGAGGAGGAAAAAAAAAAAAAATCTCTCGATCCTTGCCAAGTTTCAAAGGACAAACCCGAGTAGGAGAGAAATGTGATTTCCCAGCCTCGTCAAGGGGATGATAAACAATGCAGAATAAAAAAGAGAAAAAAAAAAAGTTAGTGTTTTTTTTTTAATGACAAGCTCTAAGAGAAGGTGATAGACATTGTCCTTTTCAGCTGGAAAGTGGAAACCAATTGATATTAATATGGTGTTAAAGAGAGTATGAAGAAAGCCCTGTGCAAATTGGCAAGGGTTTAATTAGAGTCACAATAAAAAACAGCCCTGAAGGCATTTTGCTTTTTAGTCATTCACATACACCTCCACTCAATCGCATTTACAGAGCCAGGAAAATTATTAATGCTCATTATCCCGAGAACCTTTCCCTTGGAGCCCTGGGACATTAATGGACAGTTTTACATTTTGGGAGGGGGAGAGACGTTTCACCCCCAGACCTAGTTCATACAAATGGGAAACACTGGGCAGCTCTTATCTCGGGGGCTTGTATCAGCCCTGATGAAAACTGCTGGTCTTGGTGGGTTTCTGAGGAAGCAGAATAAATTGATCCAAGAAGTCACGCTTTACAGCAAAAACCATCGGGGGAAACAGCACTGGAGTGGTGGGGATGGACCCTGAAAAAGTCCTTCTCGAAACATAAACACGGGCTCCCATTTCTGCAGGACCTACACAAAGCCAGGCTTTTGGGGCTCGCTCTCTGCTGGAGCTCTTAACCATCAAGCAGGGCTCAGGTTGGTTTTGTTTTTCCCAAAGGTGAACTGGCACTGCTGAAACTGCTACAAACTGGGGGGGGGGAGGGAGGAATGGAAGCAGAAGGAAAAAAAAAAGCTTTTTTTGCTTATTTTGAACGTGGGAAAAATGTAACAAATGGCAAGGAAGAATTTGACAGGCTTCAAGGAAGGTTTTGAAATAACAGAACTGCAGAAGGCAAATGAGAATAGCACTTAATTCATCCTCCTTAGGGTAACTGCGATTTCCCTTCCTTCTACCCATTTTGGCAGCCTTGACTGCCTTCAGACCACAGACCGTGCCCATAAACTCATTCTTCTCCCCCCTCTCACCGCAGGCGACCGAGCACAAAAGCGTCCTGCGAACATGACCGCAGCTCCACCTTGACCACGGAAAACACCACGAGCAGCCAAAGCAAGCGGATGTCTGGCAGATCCGTGCAACCCAGAGACAACCCAAATCTAATCTACTCCTCTAGCCTACGTGCTACGCTGCTTTCTGCCTTGCCGCTACCCACTAGTGTGTGGAGGCATGAAGGAGAAGGGAAAAACACGTTGGTCTGGCTTTAAATACCTGTTTTTTTCTGTGTTTCTCTCACGGGCACAGAGGCAGCGAACTCAGAGGCTAGTCTGATGATGCTTGCTTATGGTGGGAAGCAGAAATTCAGAGGGCAGAAGACAGTGTGTAAATTAGAGGGTGAAACAGCACAGGGATGGGGCAGGGCCCTAACAGGACTTTTTTTTTTAAATGGCTGGCTGGCTGAGCTGGCTTTAAAGCAGGGAGGGATTTGTATAATGCTTCTAAAATTTAGAAGGGAGGTAACGACAGAGTATCTCACTTTGGGACTCTGACCCAGCCTGGGGTTATTGTGTCTCCTGCAAATGGGTGTCTTACCAGGAGCTCGAAGGGTCATCTCTTTAGCAAGGTGTTTTCCCTGAGGTCTAAGCGAGTTACGTTCACAGCCCCTTTGGGGTGTCATGGTACTTAAAGAAGTACTTTACATTTTGCAGGACTGGAGGGGGAGGAATGTCTCTGGTCAAAAGCAGATCAGAATTAGGCTGTGCCTTGATTCCGTATTGCTGGTCAAAGGCACACAATGGACCTTTGGCATCAAACCCAGCGTGGTGCCCATGTAAGAGAGCAGGTCCCTGAGCTGCTGGGTGGCCCTGACTTCCTTCGTATTTGGAGCAGCCCCTCCAGGGGCTGTCTCCATCCCCAGGCACAGCATTCTGGGGTTGGACCTGGCTGTGCAGAAACATGGATGGGGGTCTGGATGGGGGTGAGGAGCTCCGAGCTCAGCCCTGACCGTTGGACTGCGATTTATTTATTTATTTTGTCCTTAGCCATCAGTTAATGAAAGCATTATGAAAACATTTTCTCTGCCCAGGAAGCAGGTTTTGGAGAAGGAATAAACCCCGAGGTGCATGATGTCTCCCAGGTCTCTCAGAGCAGTTTGGCAGGAGAGACTACCCCCACCACCCCCCAACCCCACACAGATGCCGCCCTGCCCGACACAAGCGAGGCAGAGCACTGCAAATCACACACAAGGTAGACACTACACACACCACCCACACGTACACGGCACTTGCAGAAAAACAGACCTAAAATGTTGCTACAGGTGAGCATGGATAAAAATCAAATGACCCCAAGAGTGTGGTGTAGATGTAGACGCGATCTCCTGTCACTGGGCCGTGGTGATGTGAGCTCTGGGCAGGGGGGGGTGGATGAACCTCCTCCTGCATGTGTACAACATGGACCTATGTGAGGAGCACTTCTTAACAGTCAAGAGACTTGCACTCTGTTGCCCAGGGTCACTCCAACTCCGTGGAAGTTGGAGCTAAACCCTCAGCTTCCTGATTAACTACTCAAGCAGGGTACTTCCATGAATATATCTATATTTGCATAAACATGCAATCAAGTTTCCTCATCCCTTTGACTGGCTTCTGGCAGCTCCCCCAGACAGACTGTTACTAACATACTGTGGGTGTAAAACGTCCTCCTGGGAAATATCAGGCCCAGAAAGCATGGCAAGGGGAGGAATGCGTGTCTAATTCCCCCATGAGAAGCTTAAAAAAAATGTCCTGCTGTTAAGTTTTATCTGCTTATTTCCAAAAGACAAGTGAAAACACTGTCTCCTTGTTCACGGGGGGAGGGAAGGAGGAACCCCCAGAAAAAGGACAAAAGTCTTCCTCCATGGGATGATTTTAGAAATTAGGAAAGGGTGTTTCTGGCGTGTGTGTGAGCTCCAGCCCCGCACGCTCCCTGGCTGCTTGTACAGCGCCCGCCTGGGGAATGTTAGAGTGCGCTCTGCCCTCGGAAAACTGCCCTTGAAGATGCAGCCAGCCTGCATTACATCCCTGAGTCTGGCCCCAGGGACTTGATGCAGGATTGGGAGAGCCAGTAAGGACAGAGCCAGCTTCTCCCTTGACCCGACGTCCCGTCCCTGGCATGACTTAGCAAAGCCTGCGGGCTGCTCTGAGTCTGGTGGTAAGTGGCAGGAGGTGGCCGCTCGCGCGCTGAGGCAGCAGCCTTCCTCCACGGGGAAGGTTCCCTGTCCGAGCGAGCGGCCGGTGGGGCAGAGCAGCACCCAGCCTTCCCCATCGCGCTCTAGGAGCAGCACCCAGCAAGTACAGCGGGGGCAACTCTCCTGCCTGCTCTGGTATCGCATGTGGAGGTCGGGGATAGAGCAGGACAGGGTACAATTCCCCTCTCCTTCCAGCCAGGCAAGACTGGGTATGTGGTTTAATTTTACAGTGGGACAGTAAAGCCTTCATTGCTGTCCTGCCCTGCCTTGTGATGGAGCTGCAAGAGAGCATCTCTTGCAGCCGTGCCAGCCCTGTGCAGGACAACATTGCCAAGCGGCTCTAGGAGGGATGGATTTTGAAAACCTTTTCTTTTTAAAAAAACAAAATTGAGAGAAAAAATGGAAAAGTGTTGTTTGCCCCGTATCCAGTCCTGGCTTCACTTCTTGCTGCCCTGATGATAACAGAGCAACAGCAAAGTGAGATCAGCCGGTGAGGGGGGATGTCAACCCATGGCATGATTGTCTCTTGGCTTTGAGGTGGACCCGTTGTGGCTGGCTCCCTGCTTATAGGGACCATAAAACTTGCTCCTAGCTCATGTTACACGTGTCAGTGTCCTTGGACTGAATAGAGAGAAAAGCAAACCAGGACTGCCCAGAGGCTGGGGGATGTGAACCAAGTCAGGGTGTTTTTTATCCATGTCCCTTTATCATCCTACAGAGCGGATAACCAGGGCCACCGACGTGGCAGCCCCATGCGTTCCCCACCGCCACCGGAGGCGCCGGGATGGGAAGCAGCCAAAAAGAGGAGCCCGGAAAAGAGGAGCCCCGCGGTGGAGCCCTGGCCCTCCGAGCGAGGCAGGGAGGGTGACACCCACCTGGCTGGGTGGTGGTGGCAGGTAAGGGGATGCTGGTGGTTCTTGTGGTGGTCGTTGTGGTGGTGGTGGGCGTTGTTGTGGTGGTCGTTTTTGCGGTGGTAACCTGCTGCGCTCGCTCATACGCTAGCAAGCAAAGAGAAGAGGTGGGAGGCACCTACTGGGGGGGAACAGAGGGTTTCCTTCCCAGCCCGCATGCCCATGCGGCTGCCGCTGCTGGGGCTGAACCGGCGACTGATTTCTCAGTGTGATTACAATTGGGGCACCAAGAGGATTAAGGCGATGGTGGCTCGATGACGCTGGATGCAGCGAGCACGTGTATGCATGCAGGGGCGGGAGGCTGTGGCTGTATCAGCTTACTCTGTTGGTGCAGATATTGGCTTAAATACTTCCAGCTCTATCATAAACTAATTGCCAATTAAGCTGAAAAGGGGGAATGAAAGCACGCCTGGGCAGAGATGGGGCGAAGAGCGGGCGGGAGGTGCAGAGGAGCCCCCAGCCCGCCCTGCTGGGAGGTGTGCTTCTGCTGCCTGCCCTCTGCGTGCCAGCTGGCAGAGCCCTGCCTACCCCGGCTCCATAAACAGCCCCATTCCCTTCTGCCACCCCGCCGGCAGCAAACTGCCCGGCACCATCAAAACCAACCCGTACCATCGGCACGTATTAATTTCCACTGGCGCCCTTCGTTCCGCAGGGCAAATTACTTGAT